ACACGCAATGCATACATTACATAGCCCCTATGCGCTTTGGGAACATAACCCCCTTTTAAGCCTCCTAAACCCCCTAGGCAGAATTTTCACTTATGCCAATGATTTTTATTTGCCACTAGCTTTCCAACGATATATATTTCATCAAGATCGGTGATGGGCAAGCTAGGGGGTTGGATTGTTAGTTTTGTAAAAATTTTACGTTTTATTATTTATGATAAACTTTAATTTTATATTAAAACAATTTTATATGATCAATTATTGAATTAATTTTATAATTCTTGTGCTCAAAAATTTTAGTATTTATTTTTTTTAATAATCTGTAATACTTAATATTTTAAAAATAATTCTAATATAATTTATTATCTAGATAACGTAATTGGGTAATCTATTTAATATCGCATTATAATAAATATGCTTTTAATAATTTTTAAAAATTAAAAATTTATCTAAATTTTTCTAAAGTTTAAATATAATTTTTAGTTAAATTAAATAATTTTTGATATCACATGAACGTGCTTAGTTTTAGTTAAACTTAATTTATACTAATATAATTTAGGCAATTTAAAGCAATCGTACCTGATCCTTTAGTCTTAATGGCTATTGAATCGCTGGCGTCTCCCTTTCCCATTGCATTATATGCCACCACATAATACTGTTGATAAGGATAATAAAACATATTGATATAATTTATAAATTATGCTTAATTCAAAATTTTAATAAGTACAACTTTCTCTCTCGAACCAAATATATAATAAACACATTTAGCTCATATTTATTTAAACAAAACAAATTTAATTTACAGTATTTTACTAATTTTAGTTAATAATTTTTCACCTAAAATTATTGTGTTAACATATTCAACCAAACATTATAATACAATTACTTTGCATAATAATGTAGCACAAATAAATAATAATAACAATACATACCTGATATAATGTGCCGCAGAGCAGATCATTACTGGTATAGGCGTTGGTTTTGATGCGGATCTGTCTCTCCATCCAAACGGATGAATGGCTTTTGGAAAACACATAATAGCCGTTGATTTGACTCAAAGCTGCCGAAAGGTTAGCTTCAGAGGGAAAGGTCCACACGATCTCAATCCAGTCGTACCCGACGTCCCCTTGAGATAGGAGGGGCGCAGATGGCCTGTCCATCACTAGTGTCTGGCCATAAACCTCTTCAGACTGGGGTCCCGTTCCCTTACTGTAGAAATAAATTTTGAAAGAGTGATTTATATTTGATAGCTAAAGGGTAGTTTTAATGCATAATTAATTGCTTTATGATCTGGATGTTTTTAATGCTAGTAAGGGTAAAATTTACACTGAGTGTAAATTTCAATGGAAAAAATGACTGGTTTCAATGCATTTTTTTATTGCTACCCATACTAGTTTTAATGTCTGGTTATTAATAAATCATAAACAATATTAAATATTTTTTTGTAATATATTTTTTATGACTATTTTTAATTATACAAATATTATAACCAATAGAACTATTGTGTGGTTAATTTTAGGTCTCTCTCTCTCTCTCTCTCTCTCTCTCTCTCTCTCTGTCAGGATTTTGATGCAATTTTTGTAATGGATTTTTATATTTCAAAACTTAATCATAACTTCTGTCCACAAAATAAAGTATACATTCTATAGATATTTAACACAAAAATATAATTACCCGGTTCAGTTAACGGTATAATGATACAGTGTCAATTATTTCCATTTTAACATATGACATGCAGTATGATATTATCATTATTTAATATCTTATAAAGTACTTTATATACAGTTAGGATTTTGATGCAATTTTTGTAATGGATTTTTATATTTCAAAACTTAATCATAACTTCTGTCCACAAAATAAAGTATACATTCTATAGATATTTAACACAAAAATATAATGTTTAATACATAACACATACTGTACTGTATATAAAGTACTTTATAAGATATTAAATAATGATAATATCATACTGCATGTCATATGTTAAAATGGAAATAATTGACACTGTATCATTATACCGTTAACTGAACCGGGTAATTATATTTTTGGCTACGTTTTAACACCATGTTTTGTGAAATATTTTATACAATATATAATTAAAAATTTTGATGCAAATTATCAAAGATATTTTGTTACAATTAAATATTAATTCAAAATAAACAATATATCATCTATATAATTTACACACGATTCTTATACATAGATATATATCAGTATAACTGTCTCCCGGACTGGATTTGACAGCACCAGTATTTTTATCAATATAAAATATCTTATATATCTATATTTACAAAGAGTTATAATAAGTATTTCTTATAGTAATTCAATATAGACTTCACTTATCACACAAATGGTGTCTTTTTATGACATATTCTCTCTCTCTCTCTCTCTCTCTCTCTCTCTCTCTCTAACAAAACATTTATATCTATAGATAGATTTAGAGAAAAGGGGAAAGAGAATGGTAAAATCTGGTAGAATTTAATTCACCCTATTTCTATGATTTGTATGTTTGAAATATATATATTTTATATAAAGATAGATATCTATTGTATCGTAAAATTTTATGATTAAAATTCTGGTCTGAGTTTAATGTCTTCACACATTATGTTTATGCATTAGTATATTGTATGTGTCGTTATATACATCAATAAATAATTATGTTAAATATAAATATAATTAAATAAAATGTTTGAATTCCAGTTCACTAATGAGAGATGATATAAAAAGCTGATGGTTATAATAATAGCACTTATATCTACACGTATATCACTTTATCCATCTATACTATACTATACAGTGAGTAGTCTATGGCAGACATTCACTCCCATTATACAAATTACTGCCACAAAAGGCATTCAATTCAATGGCTTATAATTAACTGAAATTGAATGAAAAGCTCATCTCCTTTGCCATCACTCCTCTCTTATTCTCCTTTAAAAAGCCACAAACTTATTATTTTTCCATTGAATTCATCCGGAAATGAGATGAGGGTTACATTGATGGAGATATAGATGTATATTATGTGTGTATTAATTATTTCAATGAAATCATCCCCTTTTTCAGTGAAAAGTTCATTAATTTAATGATTTTTCACAAAAACTGTTTTCATACAATAGGACACAATATGTAATGCATTTAATTCAATTTCTGATCGTGATAATTTGAAATGTATTTGAATTTGATAAAACCAAGCTCTATTTAATATTATTAATTTAACATTTGGCCCGCATATTAATATTATTTTCTTATTACTTAAATTAATTATCAACTGTAATTTGGTATAAATAAGCATCTATGTAGAAAGCAATATGCTATTTATGAACACAAGGGGACGTATAAAGTTCACAATTATATATTAAGCAAATTTATTTTTATTTAAATAATAATTAAATGTTATTGTAATAAAAAATAATGTATTTTAATATGTTTTTAATATTAATAAAACTAACTTGATTAAATATTACATGACCAAGTATTAATGTAATCTATTAATTAAAAATCTTATTTAAATGATACATTTTATCATAATTAATCACATGGAATTAAAACTGTAATTTATTTCTATAAGAATCATCTAGTAAACATACTCATAAAAAATTTATTATAATGGTTTTGTCACACAATTTAACGAAACATATTTTACACAATTAACTACTAGATATAAAACATTTTAAAATTCTATAAATCATGATAATTACCTGTTGAACGCCTGGACAACAATCGCGTACTTAGTGTTGGCGGACAGGGATGTGATGTTCACTTCGTTTTGTTGGTTCCCAGCGTTTGACAACTCATTTATCGACAACTTTTTAAACATGTAATTTGAG